TGCCGCACAAATGCACTCGTGATTTACTGTGTTTGTGTGTGTGTTCTAACCCAGTAGGCTCACTAGTGGTGATGCGGATGAAAATGTGACGGGACAGGTTAAATTCTCACATGCTCACTCTGCTTCGCCTAATCTAACCCACATCTGATTCCTTTATAGTTCAAACCAAAACTATTTTCCTGTCAGATCGCTCCTGTTCGTGCTTCCATTGTTGTACAAAGCACAAAAATAGGACAAAATGAATTTCGGAAAGTTTTCACCTATTCCTAATGATGATGTGATAGATTATTTTTTTCTCGAGTATTCGAAACAGCTGTAACGCATTTGCAGTGAGTTGCGATTTCATTAGGAAATTAATCGAATGCAGCCGAGATGCTTGTCCGTTTGGAATAGATTTTTATTAGAACCGAACTCCAATCGCGACGCTAATGTCCAGTATTGTTAGGAGCTTATAACCCAACACAAGAGATCAGAACACAGTAGACAGCATGCTGATCGGAACAGGGATCTAATGAATGACTTGTATTTAACTCAGTTGTGACCGGTAATTGTTTAAAGGTTGGAGTCGTAATGCTTCAGGAGAGCTGGATCCACAACGAAACGGATGATAAAGTGGTCAAAATCGACAATTTTTCCATCTGCTGAGTTGACTGACCCGTTCCGTTTCACAAACGAGGTGGTGGTGTTATCACATACATAAATGACAATTGGTGCAAATCAGGCAAAGGTGTCTTTATGTATCCTGCCACTTTTATCAGTACTTCACTGTACAAATGCAGACCTAAACACCTCAGTAACTACCGAAACATTATTTTTGGTAACATTTACACTTCTTCTTGTTCCACTGATCGTTTTAACGAGTTCACAGATATTGTCTCCGCCGCTTTACTAAATTACGTTGACTCCTCCCTTTGCATCGTGTGGTAACTTCAATAGATCTGATGTCTCGTTTTTGACAACCCTTGGACTACGAAACATTATTAACTTTCCGACCAGACTCGAGGCTTGTCTTCATTTGTTTCGTTAACGACCTGAATTTATTTAACTTGCGCAGCCGTTCCCCTATTGGCATCACTGAAATTATCTCCCACGATCTACAGTAGATCCAATCATCAGTTTTACACTCGGCATCGTGATCGTCGGCGTCACTGTCAAATCAAAAATCTTGCTAGACTAAGAGATACATTAGATCAGACAGATTTCTCTTTATTTATACATAATGACCCCTCTATATTTTGTGATACCCTGACTGAATGCTTGAAGTTCTGTTATGACACGAGCTGCCCGTGGGAAACTTTATACGTACGGTCAGACCGTTTTTCGTCCCCCACACTAAACCTGTGTTTTACTAAACATAGCATTCCGGACTGCTGGAGATTGGCTTCTATCACGCCAGTACTCAAAAAGGGACCCTCCAAACTTCGTCCGATTGCTTGCATTTCTGTGGGTTTAAAAGTCATGGAAAAGATTTTACTACAAAAGATGTTGCCCCAGCAGAATGCACCTGATCCCAATCAATTTGTCTACTGCAGTTCTGGTTCAACCAATGATGCGTTGGTATCCCTCATTCATTATGTCTGTTCCTCCTCGGACAGGAAATGTAAAGCTGTTCGGGTATTTTTCTTTGATTACAGTGATGCCTTTAATTGTGTTGATAGGTCC